GTATTGCTGAAACTGCAAAGCACAGAGGATCCTGACCTAAACACAGGGCAGAAAAATAAAAACTGAAGTCACCCAAGATAGGAGCTGGGGGATGCTTAGGTTTAAATGAGAAAGTTGGTGGAAGGAAGGTAATTAGTGGAGGAAAGTGATCAGTGCAGGAAGGTGGAGCAGTTCTGGTACTGTATGCTGAAGGCAGCTCCCCTGGACACTCTGCGGATTTCTTTACTCCTTTTGGGGAGGAACTCATTGGGAATTGCCCGAGAGGGGGAGGGAGGGCAGGACGGAGCTGTGGAGCCACTGGGACGTGATGAGCACACAGCCACGTGGGCAGAGAAACGCCAGCAAGGCGAGTGTCAGACCTCGCTTCACCCACTCAGTAATTGCCTACAAATCACTCGCAGCATCCAGTCTCCCCATCTCCTCTTTCAGTGGAAGAAAGTGTGTGACTGTGCGTGCTTTCACTCCCACACCTTTACTGTCTGCACAAGCTTTCCAAAAATAGTCTTCCAGCCAGTGCTAAAGCCTGCTCCAAGTTCCCCAGGCAGCACTGAATGACTTTTTGATGTAAAACCCTGGCACTTCATTTAAGATACAGCGTGTCAGGGCCCCACGGGCACCACTGGGTGTTAATTACCCTGCACCTGCCATCCATGCACCTTCTGGCCCAGGACTTCGTTTAAGCTCAGGCATGGGTGTCCCATGCCTGTCCGAGCTGGGTTAGATGTGTCCCTATCTCCAGCCCTGGCTGCTGCACGGACCATGGACCTGCCTTGTAGCTTTGTCTCCAGCCCCTTCTCCTGCTCCGGACCGGGCTCTCCGGAGGGACCCTGGTCCTGGTTCATCCCCTCGCTGTGTCTGGGGCTGTCGATGGACCCTGTCCCCCCCTTGGCTCTACCAGCCGTGCTGAGACCCCACGGGTCTGTGCCCCGTTGGGGAGGGCATGGCCAGCGCTGGGGCTCCTGGCTCATCCCCTCTTCATGCTGCTCCCTGAACCAGCACGTGTGTGTCTTGAGCTCCCTGGCAACATTTTACTTCACACGGGATTATCCTCTGCAGGTGACGGTGGTTCAGTCAGATGGTATCTCACCCCAGAAAACATTTGATCCTGGCTGGACTTCCCATTCCTGCTGTGTCTTTCTTTCCCTGGCTGAAGGAGTAGTTTGGGCTTGCCCTTCCCTCATGCAGCCTAATATTTTGGGCTGAATCTCTGCCCTGCTACAGTTTCCCAATAGCACTGGTGAGATGAAAACGTAAAGAAAATAGTTCCACAAGGTGACTGCAGGAAGGGGCACAGGGCAGGTCTGCAGGGTCTGGCTAGGGAGCAGACAGGAGGCCAGCGCTGGCTGTGGACCCATGATCACACGTGGCAGAAGACATGGAAGTGGCTGTCGTTGTTTCTCATTAAAGCAGGATGAACGTTCACATTTCTGATAGGCAAGAAAAGAAGCTTTGACCAAAACCAGTTGTATTTGGACACACCGCTGCAGTATGGGGCACCTTAGATTGACACTGCAGGCATCTTCAGCTGACTTTGGCCAACTTCGTAGGACCTCACTGTCCAAACAGCTTTTGCACATAATAGAAGAAAAAGGAGACTCCCTGTCTGTGGCTCATCTCCCTCCTGCAGGCATCCCAGCCTGCAGTGAGCTGCAGTTAGATGGAGACAGCTCTGCCCTCTGAGAGCAAGGCTAGTCTGGCTCTTTGGCTCTGGTGGACACATATTTTCATGGCAGTCAGGCATAACTCGGAGGGGAGGGAGGATTTCAGGATCTACAGCTTTCCAATAGGAGAAAATTACTATTTAAGCACCAACCTGCAACAACTGATCAGATCTCCCGCTACCCTGCAGGGGTTGGGATACCCGTGGGGTGGCTCTAATTGCTAAAGGAGCAAATCAGCTCCCTCACTACTTTCACCATCCAGCCTGTTACAGCTCCACACAAGGTGTTACGAAATTACTGCTTGAAACAGAGAAGCCAGCACATTAGTGACTGAGTCATTTAACAGTCTTCCCTCTCAAAGAGTAGTTGGCATCCCGACAAGGAGAAGAAAGAAAGGTTGCGAAAGAAAATTGTACACATGTGAAGCAAAAAGTAAACTCTTCTTTCCAGTTTTACACGTGAAAGCAGCAGCAGAGCCGTCCACCCACCCTCACCGCTGCCGGGAAAGTCCAAGCCATTCGAGTCAGGTCCTGGGTCTAATTAATCAGGTGGTAGGGCATAGTCAGTCACAGCGTTTGCACACATGGTGGTCATTAACTAAATCTGCTGACTGGTTAAATGAGCATGTTTGGGTTAGAGAAATACAGCAATCAACTGATGCACATTTGAAGCAATTGCAGTATGAACAACAGAGCCCCAGGCATTGCAGAGCAGTGACCCGTAACCTCATTTCTGATGGGGAGGCTGGAGCTGCTTTGCAGTGTAAATATGCAACAGCATATCAGTGAGAGTTTCTGTTCCTTGCTCTCAGAAGATCAGTGGTGAAGAAAAACAATTTGTCCTTTAGTCAACTTCAGCTTAAACTGTAACCCTGGAGGTACAGCGTCATCAGATGTCCCTGCTTCACTCCTGTATGCTTCCTCCATGCTCGTCCCAGGATGACCACCAAAATGGTTCGTAGCAAAGACTGGGGCAGCGCATTAGTTAAACATGGGCGACCAGGAATGCTGCTGAAAAGAGCAAAGAGCTCCTAAGGTCACAGCATGGCATCCTTTGCCTTGTAAGCCTGAGCGCATGGTGTTATCCTGCTCAGTGTGCTTTGCGCCTTTGCAGTATTTAGTATCTGGGCGACACTCAGTTTGGGCATTCAGCCACAGCAGGAGGCCCTCCAAAAAGCTTTTTTGGACCTCCTCATCTCTACCTGCTGCATTACAGCCCTTTCTCGCTAGCCTTCTGCTGCAGGGACCAGGGCAGGCAGTCACCGGCCGAGGCAGCGCAGACAGGCAGCTCTCGGCAGCGCCTGGCAGCGGACAGCTTTTTTTAATAAAGCAGAACTTTATCTGCACCCAGCCTCTTGATGTGCCTGCAGCCCAACACCAAAAGTCACCGCTTTCTAGGTGGGTGACTAAACCAGAGCTGCTTTAAAGCAGAGCATGTCCCAGGACGACAACTCGGAGAAAGGTTCAGGACGACACGTCAGCATCCACAAACTCTCAAGACTGCAGCGCTGGTGGAGGAGGGAGGACACAGACTGTGAGGAGAGAGGTACAGAGTGTGAAGATACAGCAGGAGATAACCTGGAGCAAGCTGTCAGTAACTGTGCTGCTTCACGTGCACCCTGCAAAGGGGCTGTAGCCTTTGGATGGGCAACGGGGTGCTGCCCCTGCTTGCTGCGTGATGCACTGCTCCCTGAAACTTTTGGGACATGACCATCTGGGATGTGTTATCCCCAGGGGCTGCTCCATGGGGCCAGCCTGTCTGGAGCGCTTGTTGCAAGGGAAGCATGCCCATGGTTTGTATGCAGACATGGCGAGGGTGTTAAGGGACTTGCGGGAAAGGGTCCTGCAGGCTCTCCAGACAGTCAGGGTAGAGCCCCTTCTCCCACTGCTTCCAGTTTAACTGCCCTAATCTCATCCCTTTTCCTAAGCTTGCTCAGTTGTGGGGCCAGGAACTGTGTCTATCTTGTCTTGAAGTGCCAGTCATCCTCCAGCCAGGTCTCTGCCAGCTGTGGAGAAGGTTGTACACCTCCTGGCAATTTTGGCAGGCCTGGGGTACGTGGAGCTGCCACTTCAGGATTTTTTTTTTTTTTTGTGCCTAGCTCATTGACTAGGGACTCTTCTTTGAATCATGTTGGTTGTGTCAACCAAGCTGTGCCAGCTCTGATGCCACATCTCCCCAGTTGCTGCTTTTTCCAGGCATTGTTTCTATAACTCTTCCAAAAAACTCAGCAATTTTTCTGCTCCGTGCCACCCTGGGATGAAAGCTTTTGCCCAGCAGCTGTGTGATATACAACTGTGTGTTACACACCTTTGATGACCAGCCACCTTTCAGCCTCTCAGATGCACCATCCATTCTTGTTCTGCAGTGGCTCTGGCTGAACAAAGAGCTCATTTTCTTGGTTAAGAGCATGAGAAGAGTGGAAATTCACATTAAAGACCCACCTCTTCCAGGAAACCACTCCCTGAAGCAGGCAGTGGAAGAACCATGATGCAAGAACCCCGTACAGTGGTGGCAGCGGTACCGGTGGCCCTGTCAGGGGCTGCACACTCACTCCTTCGGCTGTTGCATCGGTCCCCAGAGCAAACCGGCACGTGGCTGGGACCTTGCAGGAGTAAGTCATGGTCCCTAACGAGGCAGGACCAGCCTCTCTGCGTGCCAGCACTGCAGTTCTCATCACTGCCTTGTACGTGGCCTGGGAAAGCACTCTCCCAAAGTGGAGAAAGGGACTTTGTGGGGAAACACTTTCACTTTTTCCATCCTTTGGAGGACACTGGTGAGCAGGTCGCCCTCTCCCACAGCTCACCTTTTCTCCCCAGGGTGCTCCCCTCCCTGTTTGCATCCATCCAGAGACTCAATCTCTTCTGGGCACCCTCTCACTCTTTCCATACTCCCTGCTCCCAGGTCATGACTTGACACAAACCATACTGAAAAAAACCACTTAGCTGATGCTTTGGTGCCCCTGGGCATCCCTACACAGTGGGTCAACCCTGCTCTCCCTATGGTCCAGCTGGGCTGGCTGGTGATCACCTCACACCAGATAGAGTTTGTTGCAGCACCTGAGATGCTGCATGGTATCCCCCACCTAGAAACGACTGTTTTCACAGCACTTTTCCCACAGCCTGCTTTCCTAATGCGGATCACCCTCTCAAATACCACAGCAGGAGAAAAGAGAAGGCGCTTTGTGCTGGGTCCACTTGAAATAGATGTTGTGTGCACCCAGGATAATTTCTTTGGCTCTACCCCAAATGGAGAGTTTCATCTTGACTTTTGACAACCTTTCAGCAAGGGCTCAAAGTCCAATGAAGTGGCTATATGAAAAGCCATGGGAAGTTGAGCTCCAAGGACAGAGACCGCTTTTCAAGCTCATGTTGCTGCTACTTAGTACACAGCTGCTCTGAATAAGCAAACTCCACCAAAAAAATGAAATTTGAGGATCTCTTGCTGGAAATCGATGGCTTTGGCAAATTCCAGATTTTGATTCTGTTTATCCTCTGCCTTCCAAGAATGAACCTTCCCATGCATTTCCTGCTGCACAATTTTCTTGCTGCTACCCCCTCTCATCACTGTGCAATTCCACACCAAGAGGCATTTGTGAACCTCACCACGGAGGAAGTTCTGCTCATCAGCATCCCCCGGGAGCCCGATGGCACTTTCAAGTCCTGTGAGATGTTCTCGCAGCCTCAGTTTCACCTGCTGCTCAATTCCTCTCTGCAACCAGAAAACAACTCCATCATCCAGGAGTGCCAGCATGGATGGGTCTATGACCACTCGCAGTTCACCTCCACCATCTCCACGCAGGTAACGCCTGGCCTGTGACCTAGCCGAAATGAAATTAGAGTTTTGAGGAGCAGATGGAGAGGTGTTTGCCTGCTGCACAGAATCAGAGGGGAATCTTTGCATTGTAACCAGTGGAAATGACTTGTTTAGAGAAGATTTCCTGGGATGGGGAAGCTCTCAATCTTAGAGTTAGAAGCCAACATTTTTTTTTATTATTATTATTAGTAGTAGTAGTAGTAGTAGAATCATCATCATCATCTTGCTCAGACTGATAGTTAGAAGCCAACATTTCTCGTTATAAGCATCTTAATTTCTCCAGGTGACTAAGAGATTGGCAGGGGGCTGGGGGGATGCAGGGGAAAGACACACATAGAGGATTTTCTCTGCTTGGGCCACATGGCATTTGCACAGGACTGCACCCTGTCAGGTTTTCGTATGAGCCCATGACTTGCTTTCCTGATTTTCCAAACACTTTGTAACTTCTATTCCCTTGCCCACTCCTTCTCACCGATCTCTGGCAAGATCGTGCTGCCTCTCTTCTGTACCACCAGTGTCTCTTGCTGTCAAGCCAAATGTTCTCTCCAAGGGTCTCCCGCTGAGATGCCACATGCTGGCCAGCCAGAACCTTGAGCCTGCCCAAGGTCCCTGCCCATCAAACATTAACCACCCACCTTCTGCAACACTTTGCTAGGACCCGCAGTGATACCTCTGGGTGTTAATGCTTTACCTTCCTTGAAAAGCAGCCCAAATCACAGGAGGTCTTAGGGAATGGGACAATTTGGTCAGATGAAAGGGGCACGGTTGGGTTGGAAATGATAGTGCTGACTGTCTCAGTGAGAGCAGGACTAAGTCTTAACCTAGAGCTGGTGCCTCCTCCCCACCACCCAACCACCCCTGCTTTTGGCAGGCACGGAGGTGAGGGCCAGATGTGCCCAGGCTTGGACCTTATTTTTGCACTGTTTTGGGGAGAAAGATGTAAAGCACCCTTGGAGGAAAAAGCAGGGGAGGTACCCTGCAGCGTGGGTGCTGAGCATGGAGCCTCGTGATGCTGCACCCACGGGTGCAGTGGCCTCAGGGCACGGTGAAGGGGCCAGGGCTTTCTCTGGGCTCTTTTGCTCTTGCAGCAAGAAAGGTTGCTGAAGGTCTGGCTGGCCTTGTCAGAGAGGCCGCGAGGCTGGGTTGATGATTAAATCAAGTTTTGCCAAGTTTGCACATATAGAAAATTAACTCTGCAGCTCAGCCACAGCATTCTGTAATGATTAGCAACGTTTGCACCTCCAAGAAACTAAAATGATGCTCATTAACTTAATTAGGAACAATGTCTAGACCAACTTCTCTGTAAGAAATCAGTAAGTTAGCATCAAGAGCCAAGTATTTGGTCTGACTTCAGCTCTGCCCTCCTTCCTCCCTGCATCGACAACTTCAAAGGAAACCAGTCAGGGCAAGAGTAACTGGATATCAACACGACATTCCCTAATGAAGGCTGAGGCACATCTTACAGCTCGCTGCAGTGTGGCACCCTGCAAATGCCCATCTCAGCAGGGCAGTCCCAGGAGCATGGCAGAGGGAGCTGGGAGAGACGTATACGTGGGCAGGTTGAAAGCAGCTACTGCAGGGGTCAGGAGAAGAAAAGGGGGAACTCTCCATGATAAGCAGTACCCAGGAAAACTTTCTGATGCCCAACAAGTGTCCACAGAGAGGCTGTCCCGGTGGGGATAGATAACTGGGAGGCCTCGTGAGTTTTGTGAGATGCAACTTTATATTTTTCAGGACTCTGGCACTGTCCTATGTGCAGTTTAGTGCAGGGTTCTACCCCTCAATCAGATTCGGCCAGTATAAATTGCAAGACACGATAGCTGACCGAGGGAGGGAAGGGGTGTGAAAAGGCAACTGGGCGCTAAGTGTCATTTTGGCCTTGTGTTTCAGTGGGACCTCGTATGCGAGCAGCGCGGACTGAACCAGGCGACTGCAACCTTCTTCTTCATCGGCGTTACAATGGGGGCCGTGGTATTCGGATACCTTTCAGACAGGTTTGACCCTTTTCAAGCTGTTCCTCCAGGGCTTCAGGTTCATGATGAGAACTTCACAAACCTGTCACCCGCAAAAGGCAATCGGAGGGGCAGAGAAAGGAGAAAACACAATTGTAAAGGGAGAATCCAGCCTCTCACATGAAAATTGGGTTAAAGTCATACTGGGAAGCAATGCAGGGGCTAAATGCTCCATGGATTGGCCAGTTAGCAGCCCACCAAAGCAGCAGCTCTGGCCTTGGTTAGAAGTAAGATGCACTGCAGCAATGACCACAATGCCGTGGTCAGTATTGCTGCAGGAACAGCAAAAACTGAAAAAAATCCACTGTCCATGAAACCAATTTCAGAAAAGACAACTGCCTCAAAAAGGAGAAAGGTGGCTAAAACAAAACCAAAACAAGAGCTAACTCCTTGCAAGTTACATGGAAATTGGCTAAGGACACCCAAGTGAAGGGCTCAGAGCAAATGCATGCTACAGCTGAAAAAAAAAAAAGAGTTTTGGGAAAGCAAGACCTGACTGTCATTACTAGAGAAGCAGAGTAAAGGAGGTTATTAGAAGCAGGGAGGCATTCCTCAAGGAAGAGCTGAGGCAACAAGGAAAGCAGGAGCAAATCTGCTCTCTGTGGTTAAATGTTAGAATGTGATAATGTAAACCTGAAAAAAATCTGAGTAATAACCTAGAAAGGGCATCAATTAAGAAATTAAATATTTTTGCAAGCAGCAGAGAATACGCAGTGCAGGCATGCAATCAGGATGTGCTCTTCACTGTATGCTATTCATTATTTAATAACTGAGTTTCCTGCACAGGAAACTGCTTCCTGATTTCCTTCCTCCGGGAGCAAAAAACCTTTAGGGTACAACAGGCTACAAAATCACTGCATGGCAGAGGGGAACCAGCTTCACAATATGAAACTCCCAGAGACTTTGCGCTGCTGATGGGAATTTTTGCATCTATATCTTTTTTATACCAGTATACTTTTACAAGGACTCAAGACATCTGGCTGATCTTCAAACTGTGTGTCTTGGCTTTGTATCTAAAATGCTTTTATAGCACAGTTGGAGGGAAAGAAATTTAGAAGCAAGAGAAGGAGCAGGACAAAATAAGGCAGATGAGAAGGTCTCTGCTAGAGCAAAATGAAAAATAATTTGGTTTTCAAATGGATTGTGAGGGGGAAGAGCCAGTAGAAGATAGAGGCATAAAAGGAGCATCTGGAAATAAAAAGGCTGTAGTGTGAGACGGAAATGAGTTTGTGTTCACAGCAGGAGAATGTGTAGGGGCAGGTGTTGGAGCTGGAGCTTTGAAATAAGCTGATAGAAAGCGGCATAGAGAAATACAGCAGGTGAATGCCAGTAAAATGCCAGGAGCAGGGAGTGGTCATCCCAGGGCCCCATAGGAAATCTGGGATGAAAAAGCTGGAACACTGTTGGCATTGTGTGACCTCCACAGCAGAGGGCTGGGAAAGTATCATGCATCAAACCAGTTTCAAACTGGTTTCCAAAAAAGATCTCGGGAACTACGTTCCAGGCAGCGTGACATCTATCTGTACCAGGCAAATTAGTACAAACTATTCTGAAAGATTGAATCAGCGGCTACATGGGTAGATATGACACACTAGTGAAGAATCAGCAGGGTTTTAGAAAAGATCCATGCCTTACGAACATACTGGATTTCTTTGAACGTCCTAACAGGCATGTGAACAGAGGAGATACCATCTACACAGATTTCAAGAAGTTTCCTTACCAAAGGCTCCTAAAGAAACTGAGCTGCCCTAGGATAAGAAGGAAGGTCTCTGTGTGACTAAATAATTGATTAAAAGCCAGGAAGGAGAGAGGCGATGTAAGTGTTCAGTCGAGACAGTGGAGGGAGACCTGTGGGGACCTGTGCTTGGATTTGTGTGCTTTTCAGCACATTTATAAATTACTGGAAAAGGAGCGAGTGGGGAGGTGCTGCTGAGTGGCCGGGTTGGTAGAGATGAGATCTGAGTGTGGAGAATTACAGAAGGCACTTAAAGAGCTCTGACTGGATGGGAGCGTCAGATGGTTGCAGTAAATTTGGCAGATCTGATAAACCTCAGGTGTCATGCCCCAAATCTCTCCTAAGACCCCTTAAAAGCTGACGGCCCATTAGCAGCCTTCCTTTTCTCTAACAGAGAAGAGGTCCCACTTCTTTGTGCTAACAGGAATGCAGAGATTTCACCTCTAGTGCTCCAGGGTGAAAACCATCTGGTCCTGGCATTTTGCTACAGTTCAGGTTCAGTTTGTTCTAAGCCTCTACAGACGTTTGGATTTGAAAACAACTCTACTGACAAATTGTACCCTGTTAAACCCTCCAACAACCTTCACAGTGAATATATATATATGCAAATATATATATATTGTTTCTGTTTGCTCTTTTCCAAACACTCCTTTTGTACCTTGTCCTTGTACTGAATTGGCTGTATGATGCTTTGGCAGACTTCCAGATTGGGATATTTATGAAAAGGGATTTTTTATTAATTTTTAGGCTTGTGCAGTTTCCTCCTTTTATTATATTTTCTACATTTAATCTTTCAGAGGTTGTGCTTTCCTGCCTCTCCCTTTGAAGACAATTTGAACAGCATTATTTCTAGCAGCCTCCCTGTAGCCTGCAGTTCACTCTGCCAGCTCGCCTCTGGTTTCCCTAGCAGGTGGCATGCATTTGCTGAGAGAGTCTAGTAATGGGTCCATAAATAGCTGCCTTACACCCTGCAGGGAATCTTATGGTTTTATATCCTTCTTAGTGTATTTTCAAGAAAAATCTTCACTTGAAAAATGAATCTTCTTTCTTAGACAGTTACCCTATTGGAAACAGAATCCAGCTCTGGTGTGTTTCTGGGTGTTTGCTGCTCCGACCCAGGGGCATTATGATGACTTTTGCAAAGTGTCTCTGCTTAAATTTCAAAGCAGATCCAGCAAATTGCCTGGGCCCAAGCCACAAGTTGTTTTTTCTCCAGCAGATTCATTAACTAGCTGCTGCATGAAGTCATTTATGATCATTTTTAAGAATGTTACTGCAGCATTATGTCCCAGCACATCACTTTTTCCCCTGGAGCAATCATTCTTGCCACCGTCCTTCTCAGGTGACCACTAAGAGAGCCCTAATGCCAGAATCAGACCAGGATTTCGGTCCCCATAGACTGAACATTACCTGTTGACAGGGTTAATTCACTACTCCGGTTTGAACCTAAGCTTTCGTCAAATGCAGTGCTGATGTTCATTGGAAGACTGGTGCCTTGTGCTCCATTTTGATTTTTAGATTTTCATAGGTTGTGTAGAAATACATATATGCCTATTTCTCTCTCTCTCTCTATGTACATACATGTGCATTTGATGTTCTGTATTTCTCCATGCTGTCCACACAGGACTCTGCACCAGGGGTAAGATGGTCCTACAGCTTCCAAACCCCTTGGTGAACAACTCCTAGCAGATTCCTCATAGACCCCTTAGGACATCAGGGCTATTTGCACGTGTGGGCTGACAATTGGATTCTTTTTATTTTCCTTTGGGATCTTTGTTTTCTTTCCAAGGATCACGGTGAAAGTGTCATGGTTCTCTCCTCCTCGAGTGGCTGGTCCTGAGTGAACCACGGGAGGAGGACATGCTGAGCCAGGCATGGGGACAGCCATCGGAGGGAGCAGGGTGTGCCAGCACCATGGGGTTTCAAGCTGAAATCACTGCTTTTGATGATGGCATTGGACAGGGGAACGCGATATATAGATTTGATCGGTGCTGCTCTTTCCATTGGAGAGCCTCATGCGGGCAGGCTGCGGACCACACCACTGTGGCACCGGCTATACGCAGAGCTGTTTCCTCCTCTCCGGGGTGTTGCATCTCGGGCTTTTTGCAGGGCAGGCAATATTTTCATTTTTCTTCTCGAGTCTCTGCTTTGCCCCGTTTCAAACCCTGCTCCTGGGACAGGTTTCCAGCCGCTGTAACCCAGCGTGTGCTCGTGACAGGTTCGGACGGAAAGCCATGCTCCTGCTGGCGCTTGTGTGCGCCGTCGTATTTGGGATGCTGAGCGCCGCCTCCGTCTCCTACAGCATGCTGGCCATCACGCGGACCCTCACCGGGGTGGCCCTGAGCGGCGTCTCCCTTATTGTATTGCCTTTGGGTGAGTGTGTGGGGGTTTGTGGGTGCCCGGTTGTACACAGGGACTTCTGACAGGCAGCGGGTAGGTAGGGACTGGTCTACCAGACAGGGCAGAGCTAGTAGGAACAGGAGTTTGGGAATTGCTATGCATGCGGTTTCACTACAGGCAGCCAAAAGAACATCCCACTTGGGAGGATCCAACGATGACAATTTTCTGTTAGTCTAATTAATGCTTTAACAGTCTACTTGAACTATAACAACCACTTATTAGTACTTCTGTTGCAACATAAACACTTGCAATCCATGCTACCCAATTCCTCTTAAGGATCATCAGTAGTACAATAAAAGCCATAAAGTATCTACCCCTTTCCTCTGATACTGAGCTCTCACCCTTCAAACACGCTGCTAAGACAATTCATCAGCGTTGCCATGTCCTCAGCAGGAGGAGGACAGTGTGTCATTCACAGGATGTTTCTACCTCCCCAGTCTTGAATTTGCTAAGTTTTCATACGTTCCCAATCTGTATTTTTAGAAAGAGTGGGGGGAAAGAACCACACAAAAAAACAATCATACAGAGCTAGGCAAAACCAAAGCTGAAGAATTTAGGTAATTATATAATAAAAACAAGCTCCAAACTTCAGGGTACCCAAAAGAGCACTGGATGATTTTGTAGATACAGTGGGGATGTACTAGGCAAGACTCATTGTACTGAAGGGCAAGTTACAGGTGCAGCAAAAATTTCCAGGATTTTTGCCGATATATCCAAAATCAAGCTAAAATGGCTTCAATACTGGAAAAGTCCACATGAGACCTGACAAATCCCAAGGCCTGCTATGATTTTTTATTGTTATAAAGATCGATGCCTGCAAGATGAAGTAGAGCTTGGGAGGAACATCTCTGATTGTTAGAGGTTGTAGCAAGATGTCCAGATCTTTGCATGAAAATTGGCTTTTAGTTCACACACACAAACAAGGATACCACCATCTGTTCTCATTTTACCTACTCCAGATAGATTATACATGAGTGACAATTCATCCTAATATATTTCTTTAATCTGGAATAATGAGTGAGCAGAGAAAGAGGAAACTGTGCAGGCAAGATGATTAGGGAAAAAAAATTGTCTCTTTGAGGAAGAAGACCATTTGAATGCTATTGAATGGGATAAAAAAAAAGTATAACCTAAGGTGGTTTGAGCACTGTTTCTTACTATATGTCCAGTATTTCTTCTTTTAAGGCTTTATTTTAGTTGCTTACAGCTTTGCAAGAGGTTAACCATTGTGGATGAACGTTTTAAATGTGCCAAATGTCAGCCAAACAGTGAACTTTCCTGGAGGAGAAGACCAGGGACATTACCTTGCTTTGCCCTTGTTAAAAAGCCCTGCAGACCCCTTCCTGGAGAAGTCCTGTGCATCCCACCTGAACGTTGCCTCCCTCTTGCAGGGATGGAGTGGGTGGATGTCGAGCACCGCACCCTCTCCGGGATCCTGACTAGCATGTTCTGGAGCATCGGGAACATGCTGCTGGCCGCGGTAGCGTACTTGGTGCGGGAATGGCGCTGGTTATTAGTGGCCGTAACGGGACCGTGTCTTCTGAGCATCGTCTGCCTGTGGTGAGTGCAGCGACCTACAGCCGGACGGCTGGTGGGGATGGGAGCGGGCTGTGATTTGCCTCCTCTGCCCTGTGAGCGGGGCAAAAGTTGCAATGCTGATCCTAGGATCGGGTCCAGCGACCCAAAGAGGAGCGGGACTCGTCTGTGTCTCGCACTCGGATTGCCCAGGGGTGGCAGTTCCAACGAGCCAAGCACCATGGCTTTGGGGACAAGGAGGAGGCAGGACTGGGGCCGAGGCCAGGCATTTGGGCGACAGGTTGCAGCAAAAAGGAGCAGAATTTGGTGCTGCAAGCACTGTCAGACGTGGCTCGGAGCAAGAAAAGAGATCCAAATAAAGGGAGGCAGGACCAGGCCAGATCCCTGTCTTTAATCCCTGGTAGGCTCAAGGTAAATAATTTATCCATCCTCTGTCCCCACCTCATTGGGGAGGATACCTTTGGTACCAATTTTTCCATACGAGGCAATGACATCTGCAGGCTAGGTCAGGTGCATTTATCTCTGCACTTCCCATGGCCTTTCTCAGCTGTGTAACCATCCTGATGGGTCACAGACATCCACTTTCTGTGGGCTATTTCCCTCCTGTAGCGTTATTTAAGAAATGCCTGATATGTCCTTAGCCTTAAAATGGGAGATGGTTTATTTAATCAAAGAAACTAGTTTTCTTTTTTCTTTTTTTCATGTAGTAACACAGACTAGAATACAGGGTCGATTCACTGATACTGTGACTGTAATGTGAAGTGTATTGGATCAACTTATTCAATGATCCAAAACAGTCCTTTGAATAAACAGCTCCATTTCCTGGCTGGACAAAAGTCCCGTGTTGAAATAAGCAACCAGGTATTCCCACAACTGCCCCACTGAAAACATTCAGAAATGAGGGCCTGGGTCTCCTCCACCTTAAGGTGGTTGTTTAGTTCCTCTTGGACATCGGTGTGGTGCTGGACCACACTGCAGAAATCACAGACGTGTCTCTAAGGGTGCTGGGAAGCTGTAGCTGGAAACAATGCAGAATAAGCTCTGATTGTTAGACACATGGGCCTCAAAATTAGATGCAGAATCGCTGAGCAGAAAAAGTGATATCCAAATGCTAAAGTGCCTTTCAGAGGCCAACAAAGAGGCTTCTAGAGACTATGGTTTGCTTGCTTGCTATGTCTGTCCATCAGCATGAAGCAGTAGATTAAATAGCTGCACAGATCTAGCACAAAAATCTCAAATAATAATTATGAAAAATGGGATATGAACGAATGCTGTTGTTAATCAATGGCTCAAAAAAGCTGTCTTGTTTCACTGGTGATGAGGGGTTTCTGGCAAAGAGTAACATCTGATATTTCGCTGATCAAGTCCAACATAACTAAAATATGTGTTCTGCTGACTTTTTTAGTTTGAGTTGTTTTGCTCTGTTTTTTAGGAAAACCAGCCATAAAAAATTGAGTCCTGGGAAGTGCTGAAATTCACAGATACATTTGGACCCACCCTTTCCATGATAGCTGATTTTTTTTCTCTTATGTTAATGCCTTTCATGGAGATTGGTTCTCCAACAAATTATACTGTAGTCTGATCAAACTTGAAGCACCCAAGAGGTCAGTGATTGTTGGATAATTAAAAGTCCCTGAAGCATGGAATCAAAATCTAATTTAGCACGCTCTGTAGATATCATTGACACAATGTCAGAACTCAGTTGAGACATTAGACAACCAAAAGACATAATACTATACTCTGGAGATGGTGGCAATGAGTGCAAAATGCTATCTTTCATTCTTTTTATTTCCCAAGGTGCATTGGGTTATAAGCTTATGGGAAGCAGTTGAAAATTTTCCAGAAGACCAGTTCTGCAAATGTTTTTGCTCTACACATCCTTTTCAGCTACTGCTTGAATAGTGACAGCAGTTGTTCATTAGTTTTATTGTAACCTGATTTAGGGTGCATTAATCACCAACAGCTCACAGTGGTCTGGTCTTGGGCCACTCCAGTGGGAGACTCCAATGAGAGATTTTGACAACTGTGTCACCTCAGTAGACCTCATACCCACATACTTCTTCAAGGCTGTAAGTCCTCCCACTGACTGCACAGGATGCTCAGCTGAAAGTCTCCATGAGAACGGCAGATTCTGTTTTCTACTTCTCTCAGGGGACAGATTTGGGTAGCGGGAGGTAGGTGTTGGCTGCTCTAGCAGGAGGTAGCCACTCTGGGGTATTTCCAATGTCTTCTGAACCCTGACTGCTATGCGAACCGAAAAAACACCACGTACCCTCTAGGCCAGATGGGCTGCACTGTGGCCTGGGAAGCTCCATGTCAAACAGGGCCATGTGGCCATCAATTGCAACCAGATGCAAGATTAGAAATAAGTCCAAGGAGAAGGAGTTGCAGATGCTAGTTTATGACAAGTGCTGGATCTTTTGCTGGAACAGACAGAAAAATAAGAGTCACAGGACTCCCACCCTACAAGGGTCTGCTAAGCAGAACTCTTAGAGTTGCTAATTAGCTCTGCAGCAGTACAGCACCCCTTGTCACTCAATGACTAGCATGGATACTTCACTGGGGGCCGCAGCCACAATGATTTAGACCCCAGTTGACTGTCTTGTGCAGAAGGCTTTGATTATTGTGAAAAACAAACAAGTTTAGCAATTAATTAAGTATAGAGCTCACTAAATCCTTTCCACATAGTCATTTTTTTATATCCTACAATTTCAAAGTTTAAAGCGTCCCAGAAAGCATGAATCTGTAAATATAAACTCTCCGGGGCCAACTTTAAATGATAAGAGTTTGAAACTTTAACCAGCTCAGAAAATTCAAGCTTTGATCAAAGATCACATGATAAAAATTTTGGCTGGACATACTTCATTTAGCAGACTGTATCCTTTCAGGGTAGAACACCATGTACACGTAACAAGGGTGTCCCGTTACTCTTATGCACCACAGTTGCTATTTTTAGCTGAAGTTGAAGTCGCATAGAGAAGATCCCCTTTTTTTGGCCAGGGCCATGTATGTGGGGTGGAAAACATGGAGTGCCAACAGGAACTCTGTCTTCTCTCCTTGCTCCAGGTGGGTCCCAGAGTCTGCCCGGTGGCTCATAGCCAACGGCAAAGTGAAACGAGCTCACAGGCATCTGCTTAGATGTGCAAGAATGAACGGAAGGAAAGACTTCGCTGTCTCACCAGAGGTGAGAAACTGAAGATCTAGACACATGTTCTTCCTCTCCCATTTTCTCTCTCTATGTTTTACTGCTGTTTGATACCTGAAGCAATTCTCAGCCTGCAGTGTGATCTGTGGTCCACAGGGTGCCATGCTCCATTTTACTCTAGAAAGCAGCTACACCCACGTCTAAAGATAAAGCAGCAGCTCAGCTCCCATAGGGCCAGAAATCCCCTTCATTAGGTGGAGTGTCTTTCCATTCATTATTGCCATGACAAGAAGCCTCAATGCACTGGACTAAATAGGCAGCGAGAGAGAAGCACAGCCTGAAAAAGTGAGGCAGAGGCATCACTCCCATAGCAGGGAGGTGAGTGTGCAGGTGCACAAGCAATTTGTGCGGCTCAGTGTTTGCCTTCTTGGTTGCCATAGCGGTTGCCAAGTGTTGGTACAGTGGTAGCAGAAAGCAAATGCACATTAATAGCGTGTAGTTAGCATATTTTCTCTCGTATTACATTTGAGATACTGCATGTAGTGTTTTCCAAAAATGCAAAAGCTAGTCCACCTTGGGCTGCGTTTGGTGTTCATGTGAAACTGGAAGATTGTCAGCCAGAGTGCCCCAGTGGTGAATGTAGGTGTAAAGAACATTCGGCATAATCAACTTCTTCCCCTGGCTAAAGCTCTGCACTCAAGTCAGTCATGGCTCTGCCAGCAGTTTTAAAGGAACGTGGCAAGGGTGAGGTGTTGGGCAAAGTAAGCATGTACCCACTGGTTTGAATCCATTTTTGCTTGACCCCAGAGGTGTAAAGGATGGAGTGAAGATGCTTTCTTATCCCGGCCAGCACAAGCAATTTCTTAATATCTGTTGAAGAGGTAATTAGCCCTTTTGATTTACAACACAAAAGTGGTGTTTAATCATGTGAGGAATGATGAGTTTACAGGTTGTGGCACACAGGAGTTGAGTGTGACTCTTCCTTGCCTTTAAGCCAGTAGCTCTGACTAAATATGTAAAAATAACAAGTTATAACCTTTTTCATTCAGCCTTGGCTGATGACTGTATTTCAGAGTGCAGTGCTTCATGAGGAAGGGCATGGGCTTGCACCCTCATTCTTAGGGTTAGGAAACGTAGCTGGGGCTTCCCCACTATCACAGCCTTGCACCAAGTCACACCATACTGTGACCACTGAACCACGATCGAGAAAGACTTGCAGCTGTGACTCCTTGCTGGGTTCGTGAGGTTTATAAGGACATACTTGGGGTTTTTTGTCCATATCCAAACATGGACTTAGCTGATTCAAGTTTGCTTAATTGACTTGACTAGGCATCAGTGTGTTTTGATGACTTATTCAGGTAACAACTGATTTTCCTTAGTTCAGAAGACTTTGAAAGACGTATAATCTCTGGATGATTGCACAGCACGTTACTGACATACGCTCAGGTTTAATAGCATTGTCTTAGAGAACTGATGAAGGAATTTCTCAGTGTGAAATTCTTTTTTCAGTATGAAAAGCTTTGTCACTCATCCAAAAACTGCAAAGAATAGTGTGCAATTAGAAATAAAATCTTAGCTCTTCCCTAGTGAAACATGCTGTTACTTAGAGCTATCCTCTCCCCTTTCCTAACGTTTTCTTTCATTTTGTACAATTCTTTTAACCAGAGAGGTCTTTGGGCTGGGATTTCTCTTTTATTAGATTTTTCCACAAGTCCCCAGCCCCCATAACTGTTCAGCACTGTCTTAATTGTAGGTGATGCAGTAGGCCTGCAGATTCCCTCACCCTCCTCGTTCCACAGCCATCACTGACTAATGTGCATTTTAAGTTTCCTGGGGTTCTCGCTGTTCTGGCTCTCCCAGTTGTCCTTCCACATCCCGAGAAATCTGGCTAACAATACGTACTAGAAGACGTTTTCCATGTTAATGTCTTTTGTTCCCCATTTTAATAGCAAATCATGCAAATTAAAGAGAGGACAGACTGCCATCAGGGTAACTTGAATCTCATATTGAAATTCCCAGCATTGCAGAAGTAGTCTGTTATCAGTGCTATGATTCATCTTATGCATTTGGATGAAAAGACTTATTATTTGTCTGTGAAAAAAGGTTAAAAAAAAAAAGGTAACAGTTTAAAAAAATATATAACTTACTTGCCATACTGCAGCATTAACAAAAGTTACCAGATCCAGAGATGAGTATACAGAAATAAAAGGAAAAACATGGGTTCAACAAACCACTAGATAATGTGGGAAAAGATCATCAAGATGCTAAACAGACAGACCAGACACCACATCTGTTTCAGAAAGTCCCTGAACGGCTGGAGGTGGTGCCATTTCTAGGGGAGTATCTCTACATGCTTGCCCAGCTCTTCTGCAGGCTCCACTGCAGGATGCTGTTGGAGACAAGGCACTGGAGAAGATGAGCCTCTGGTCCAAGTTGCTGCGGGACCTCTTCATCCATCTAAGTTGTAGGTTCCCTATGCAGCTCAGTGGCTGGGATTAAGCGTTTATGCAAAAGCTTTGGCCAAGGCTTTGCTTTCTCTGAAGAGGATATTGATTTGAGAACACATGTAACTAGTTAAACAGACTCTCTCCTCAAGGTTTCCTGTGATTCATAACCCAATCAGTTGTAACTGTCCTGCATTTGCTGATGATTTTTGGACATGATGAAGCAAAGCTGTCCTGAGAGGAATTAATCTCTCCCAACATTAGGTGTTCACATCATCACTGTCTGCAGTCTCCTTTACAGTCTGCAATCTAACGAATAGCCGATGGAGGCTAGCACGTGGTCCTTTTGACCAAATGCTGTTTGCTCTAGAATAAAATGACTCCATCCCTTCCACTGGAGATCTCCATTACCTACACAGTGAGCCTATGGCAACTAGCTTAGGTATAGCTGCCTGCGTTACAGACCTGTAATTGTGTGGATCTCTTGCATCTCAGCCAGTGAGTAGAACTTATGAACTCTCCTGGTCCTTACCCCTAATTCAGTTGCTAAAAGATTTTGTGAATAAGCCCTCCCTTCTTCCTTATGTGCAGGGCTCACTTCTCAGTGCCTGACTTTGTATTTATATAAATAGAGTATAAATAATCACGCTTTATATAAATGCACTCATGAGAATAAAGCACACAGCTCACTGTTAGCTCCTGCCTGAGACCTGACACAACGGCAGGCGACCACACGGGGAAGACGCTGGAAGTGGCCAACGCTGACTTTGCTGACACCATGACGATCTGCCATTTTTCTGCAACCCTTTTGGCCACATTGGGTATGTAGGTAAAAGGGGAGAAGGGGCCATGGGAGAAAAAAAAGGTCTAAAATGGTAAGCAGTCTATAAAGTTGTAGGAAGACATGCCTCTGATAATGTATAGCCAGATAATTTTTCTGCAATGGGAACGTATGGAAAATGCAAGATGTTGATGGAGCTGGGAAGGACATAGGCCCAGCCTGTCTAGGGTTTCATGTCTGGATCCTAAATGTACAGCAGCTGAGCTATTTCCTTCTTTCCGCCTCTCCCAGGACCTCAGAAAGATGACAACAGACAAAAAGCCAGGAGAGAATTACACTTACATCACCTTGTTCAGGACACCAGTCCTGCGGAAGATCTCTCTGTGTTCTGGGACTCTGTGGTAAGCAGTGTCACTTTGCACAGGGGATTTGTCCTGCCCTTCCCAGCTGGATTTCCCTAAGCCCCATCTCCACACACTCCTTGCAGGTTTGGTGTTGCCTTCTCTTATTACGGCATGAGCATGAACCTAACTGGCTTTGGGCTCAACATGTATCTCTCCCAGTTTGTCTTTGGCTTCATTGAGATTCCAGCCAAGATGATCATGTACGTGCTGGTGAATCGAGTTGGACGACGGCAGAGTCAGGCGTGGGCACTCATCCTGACCGGACTATGCATAGGAGCCAACATCGTCATTCCCAAGCGTAAGATTCTCTTCTGCTATACGCAGTACTTGTTAGAGGGGAGGTTTCCATTCTGTGCAGTGCTAGAGAAGGAGAAGCGTAGATCTTGCCCACAGGCAATTCTGTATGGAGATGTCCTCCTCCTAGAAGAGCAACTGTGGGACAAGGTTGCCAATGTGGGCTAGCCCTAATATCTGGTAGCAACATGATCTCCAGTCACCGTGAAGCGGCTGGTGAGGGTCCAGTGATGGCAAGGTGAAGTGCCTATCTTTATTATAGACATTGTCCAGCTGGAAATGTTGGAACCTATCCTTTCATCAGTTCAGCTCCCACTTGGGCTAACAGTTACCGAACTTACTGGTCCAGACTTTGGAGGCAGCAGCTCCAGGGCTATGAAGCTCCCTGTTTTGTCTGTAGGAGCATTGAACCTTCCTCCTTCTTGTACCTGAGGCCACAAGAAGCTTCTTCCTAGAGGCTGCTCTTTGACCATTGTCATAAATGTCTTTTCTTTCCTCCTAGCCTTCACCCCCTTGCGCTCTGCAGTAGCCATTATGGGCAAAGGTTTCTCAGAAGCTGCGTTCACTACCGCCTTCTTGTACACCTGTGAGCTCTACCCCACTGTACTGAGGTAAGAGACACCGCTCACCCCAATGCACAACCAGAGCCTCGGTGGGACATCACCCTCAGGTCTTCCACATCAGCACAGCAGGACATGCCGTTGGCTAGCCTGCAGGACTGATGCCTTGCCTCGAGAAGGTTGTAGGGATTACACATACTCACAGGAGAGGGGCGGAAAGCTACCCTTTTTTTTACCTGGGTTATGTGTGGTTAGGTTATGGTGACAGGAGGATGTATAGAAAGGTGAGGAGTATTCCGTGTGGGAAGATTTTTGAACTCCATAAGGCAACTGTGCTTAGTAAATTCTTGGTTCCCTATGATAATCTGCCAATAACCATTAAAAGACCCCCAGAACAATAATTTGAAATACCAAGTTTTATAAGGGACACCTACTACCACATGTTTGACAGCCTTCTGGACTTCAGATTATATTAAAGCAGCAATTAACTAGCCTTTCAGGAGGAAAAAGAGAGCTTATTTGCAATATCCAGGTAATGGTGACATAAAACCAGATTTAGCATCAGCATAGTTTGGGATATAGCTAATACTGGTGGAGGGAATCACCTCACTGGTTTCTTTGTGAAAGTCTGAAAAAACTCTCATGGATTACAGCAGGCCTCATGGCTTACTTCACCTCTGTCCGTCCCTACCGAGAGTGCCATTCTCTGCCATGTAGTCCTTTAACTTTCACTGGTCTGTTGCCTGTGGAGAATGATGCATATTTAAACTGAAGTGGGCACACTGATCTGCTACTTTTCTTCTCAGATTGGTTTTTATTTTTACATGCTCAAAGACATTGACAGATAAAGACAAAAACATTGGTTCCTTCTGCAGTACTTACTCTGCACATACATACGTAGGTCCTGGGATCCTTCTTGTCAGTGTGAAATGCCACCCATTCCCCAAAAATTAGCAAGTGGAATAGGTCCTAGGTCTTATTTTTGGCATCCTCTCCAAGCTCTCCTGGGCTTATAGCTGCAGCAGGACCAAAGGTATCACCGGTATCTCTAGTGCATGCCACCTGCCTAGAACTACCTGGGAGAAGGAGGGACTTAGGTTTGCTCTCAGCGGATCGAAGGACTTACTAGAGGGATGGGTAGAAAATGCACTCAGCGGTTTAGACATTTAAAGCAGAAACAACTTTAGAGCAGGTATTTTTAGCGTGGAACTGCAGCTTCTTTCTCATAATAGACATAAATCTATTTCTCACAGCAGCTACGGTTGCTCTCTGGGAAATATTACCATTGTAGGAAGATACAAAGAAATTTAGAAAAAACAACCTAGAAAAAGCCTGGCAGAGGAAAAAAACCTAAGGGGGGAAAGGCTTCAGCACTTATATAAAAATAGAGGGAAGGGGTAGAGGGTCTGCACTTTTTCCCAAGGTCTGATATGAAAGAAATACCCATCTCTTTCTTGCGGTGCTCTGCACCACCACGGTGCCCTACGTTTCCAGGCAGAACGGGATGGGGTACAGCTCCTTCATGGCACGCCTCGGCGGGGCTTTGGCCCCACTTGTGTTTCTGCTGGATGAGGTGTGGAGGTCTCTGCCCGAGGTGACGTACTGTGGCGTAGCAGTGTGCTGTGGCTTGGTGGCCTTCCTGCTCCCGGAGACGCTCCACGTGCGTTTGCCTGAGGGCATCGAGGACATCGAGAAGACGCAGTGAGTCAGCTCCATCCTGCCCTCCACATGGAGTCTGCTGAGAGAGGCGGGGGGCATCCCTCTCCGCTGCCCGTAATTCCCCATCTGTGGGTGGCAGTGGATGAAGGGACAGCCCGGTGGGGATCGGGGCCGTCGGGCTTCCTGCTCTTCTGTCCATCAGCCCAAACATGCCTTTTCTTCCAGAGTGAAAGGGCCGCCACAAATCGGTGCTCCCAAGGGCATGCCGCTACAGTCTCTGCTGAAGTGAGGGTCCCCGTGGGACAGCCACTACGTAGGACTGCAAAACTGAGCCGTGCTCCGACCTGTCAATAAAAGAGCCTTTACTGTCCACCTAGTCTCTCTCTGCAGGGAAGTGGGGCTGAGGACATTGGAGGAAGGAGGTGGATCATGAAACCAGCTGGAGGGAGCTACCCCACTCTGTAGTGTGGCCAGGAGCAAGGATGCAGAGGTCTAAGAGGATGTGGAAATAAAAGCACCCGGTGCTAAGCTCTTTCCAGCCTTTGGCCTTGTTGGACTAGCAGCACCTTTCAGATCACTGCACAGCCTTCCAGAAACTACAAACACCACAAGGAACGCAATGCAGCAATAAAAAATACTGAGTGTGAATCGTACAAAACCAAATAATCTCAAATAAATCTAACTGGATGGTGGATAAACCATAAACTGTAGCTACAAATGCTTCTTGAATTCGGAAATGGTCTTGACATTTTTCACACTGAGGCTCAAAGCCAGCAAAAAGCACATGCAGGAATCTCACTGAGATGCTGACAAATCACTGACAAATGCTTGCATTTGTCCCACATACACAAAGAAGAATAAAAGCTTTTGCAAATTATTTAAATCTAGTGTGTATGCGATAAGTATCCTTTAAGCTAAAAAAAAAAAACACCAAAAACAACCCACCTCGCTACAGGAACCTTTGCATGGAATATTGAATAATTCATTATTGGACTTCAGTCTGCTTACTGGTCTAACGCATTGATCTTAAATTTACGGAATGCCTTTGCTTCTTGCACTTACTCCTGCAAACAACAAAGATAAACTGTCAAATTATCTATAAATTTGGAAAACTGACAAACAGCACTTTCCTAAATTGGGAAGAGGGAATGGCCTCAGCATCTGATTCTCAGGCGCACCGTGGTTCCCTGGGCTGTGAGGTGTTTTAAGCTAAGGATAACGCAAACTTGAGGATGCATCTGAAAGCGGGTGGAGAGTCCCATCCGATCCCAGGTCAGCGAGCGCCTCCTAGTAGAAATAATCTGCCTGGCAAAATTTGATACATCACCTTTTTGCTTTAAGGCAGCAAAAGGAAAGCAAACTCCTCAGAACCACCCTAAGGCTGAGACAATTTTGCATATTCTTTCTGTCTTAAAGATTGGGTCAAATAACCTGCCAAATTCCTGGCAAAAGAGCACCTCGCTGTGCACTGCCTTGGGTTCATCAGCGGCAGACCAGAGTTAAAAACCACGCTAACATTAATAATAGAGCGTAATAAACCTTTGAAAGTGCCATGTGCAGAGCACTTGCTTGGGCATCTTTTGGGGGCATTCCTACACCTACCTACAGCAAATACATAGTATACGTGCATTAGATACCCTAATGTGCTTGTGCCACGAGGCAGCATGCAAACTGTGCCAAAGAGTAGAAATTAGCAGAAATTTCTGGGTTTGGACAAGCCTGGTATCTCTAACTAGTTCACATTTAGTAACTGCAGGGGCTTTCACATCTTCACTATATGCCTGCGAGTATAATAAACTATATGTGTAATGCTGTCATCAGTTTCTGACCTGGGAGCAGTATAGCCGCACCTTATTTTGGGCATCCTGCTACCTGTCATCGGAGAGCTGGGAAAGACGGTTTTCTTTTGCCAGCAGAGGAGCCTGAGCAGGCTAATGCTGCAGCACTTTCTTCTGAGCCATCCAGGGCAGGGGGCAAAACAAGCTGTGAAATTCACTTTGTCACAACCTGGCAAGTGCCAGTCCAGGAAAACTTTGAATAAAGAAGGTAAAACTTCACTCCAGAGCAGGAGAAAGGTGAGATTTAATGTCCTGATTTCTTCCCCATCTCTTTCATCTCACCAAAAGGATGGCAGATGAAGTCCCAAATGAATGGGGCTGAAGGCTGACAGTTCCCATTCCCACTCTGCCCACACAGGAGTGTACCCACAGGCTTCTCCTCACAGACCAAGGTGTGCATTAAAAAATTACCGTGGCTCACTTCTATATGCCAGGGTTGAGAAAATATTGCTTTAAAACCCTTTTCTTTTTCTTGGTACAGTGTGTATTATATATGTGTATATATACACACAGCTAATTAAAATTACAGCGCTGGCACTGTGGCCAGCTGGGACAGACCTCTCTCCACAGCACTTTTCTTCATCAGCTCCCCCCCAACCCGCCCCAGGCTGGTCACTAGTCCCCGAGGCGCACCCACCATCGCTGCTGTTTCAGGATGTGATTTTTCTAGTCTTATGACAACTGAGGGTACCTGTCTGGACACAACTTGGGGATTTGGCTGTGTTTTTATAAAGTTGCCGTTTCTCTGTCTGCTTTGATGTACTGTCAGTGAACCAAGACCAAGTCATGAGAAGAAGGATCCTGTTTGCCCAGAAACAATCCCTTTAAGCTCTGATTGTTCCTGGTTTATATTCAGGAAAAAAACTTTTAGCTTCACAAAGACTAAATTCGGTATCCCAAGTTCCATCCCAGTAACAAATAGGAATATACAATAGCGTCCCATTTTAACAACCTCCACTTTGGCACTCAGTCAAAGTTGATAAAAAATAATCTGACGGTTCTTTTTCATTTGAACACTGTTATCATCCATTTGGCCTACAGTTAAGTGTTCTGTATTTTCCTTAAGACTACTAATAAAATCGGTGCTTTATTATACCAGCTCAGAAACATTAATTGTTGTCCCTGTCCATAATCCTTTCAAGGTGAAAAGAATTTCATTAAAAACGTTTCAGAAAAGCATTTCATTAAAAACATTTTGAACAATTTAGCAGGAGAAAATGATATAGCAGCCATTTTTTAAAGTAAATTTTTCTGTCCATGACTCTGATGCCGTGAAAAGCCGAAATCAAGACTCAATAGTCAGAAGACTATTAAGCAGGTATCCTTTATTGCAGTGCTGGGCACATAGGTGATCTCTCCTCCTATTGTGTGCACCTGACCAGGTTAATTGCATAGTTTATATACAGGTTCTATATAAATAGTCATTAGATTTCCAAGAAAAGTTTTACCTATTCATTAGTTTTCTGGTAACTCATTATCATATGCAAATGTCCCTCACGCAGGCGTATTCGAGGTCTCTGGTGGTCTTCAGGAGTCCTACGGTGGTCTTCTGTAGTCTTCCTCACTTGTCTGCTGTTTGACCCTTCTCGGATGATTCTGCGCAGTGTGATCTTCTACATGTTTTGATACATCTTATCCTAAAGAATGCTCATTAGTGCCTCTATTATCTATGTCTACATTAATGACGCAGTTCTCCAGACACTGCAAGGCCACCTGAAAGCATTTTTTTTCTTTGGTATCTTATACATTGTGCAGCATACAGAACTCTTATCTACTACCGGTCAGCAAATAATTGGGTAAAGAAATAGCAAGACCATTGTGTTCAGAAAAACATAACATAACATAACACTTTGTGCTGTCAAAGAAGAAAAGGCAATAATATCAGTGTGCAGGTCATGACCAATCTAGCACACATCTGAGTTTCCTGCAGCAAGATGTTCTGGATTTGTTGGAAATACATCATGATTTATAGCAACAAACATGAGTGTGCAATGCTGATGTCATTCCTCATACAGTGTCTGTAGGCAAACCAGGACATTAAACAACTCAGGAACTCACAGTTTTCATTACTGATAGGTTTGTTAAGACAAACCTGATTTGGGAGGGGAAATCTGATTTCCAGGTTCTGAATCTGTGAGATGAGATGTCTTTGGTCTGCTGCAGACTTGTTTACGAGGAGGACAGAAGTGATGGTTACAAACAAAGAGACCTTTTCACAAACAGAAGAACCAAACTAGTTAACAATGCATGAGAAGATAAGAACACAGCTTTAGGAAAAACTAAAAGATAGCACAAAAAATGTAAAGGGTTGAATAGGTTGAGAGGAGGAGGAGATGGTCTGTTGGCTCTCCAGTCCCAGTGTCGTGTGGCTCGGAGTACTGCATCATCCGCTCTGCACCCCCGGACATGGACAACTGAGGTCTGAGGGGGCAGAGTGGAGGAAGCAACCCTTCCTCACTCGCTGCCCTCCTTCAGCAGTAGTTTATCACCCTGATTTATCAACGTCCTTCTTGAACTGGACACAGTACCTAGATGCAGTCTGACGAGAGCTGAGCTGGAGGGAACAGCCTCTTCCCTCCACCCCCCGGCTGCGGCCCTGTTCTAAGGCCCTCAGGGTTGTGCCCGCCAGGCCCCCAGGCCTCGCAGAACCCCTCCAGCTCCAGCCTCTCTCATTGCCAACGTTCCCCTATACCCTGATTTTCAGGGGATTCCTGTCGCCTCCAGCCTGCCTGGGTCCGGCTGGATGCCCACCTGCCCTCCTCAAGCTGCCCGACCTCCCCCGCTCTCACAGCTCCCTACCCGCGGCCCGTGCGGCTGTGCAAAGCGACGTGCCATCTCTGTCCAGGACCAGGCCACACCAGGCCTGGGCCTGTATCCTCTCCACTACCGACACCGGGATCCCACTTGTGGGGCCCCACAGGCCAACCGAGGCCTGTCCGTGCCCGTGACCCCTTAGCACTACCTGCAGCGGGGCTGCAACCCCCGGGCCGTGCCTGTCACGGGCGCTGACACCCAAGAGATGTCGCTGGGCGAGAGCTGAGGCCCGACACCGGCACACCGGGAAGAGAAATTCGGTGCCGGAGGCGGTGAGGCCGCCGCGGCTCCCCCCGCCCCGGGGGCGGGCTCGGTGACGTCACTTCCTTGCCAGCGCTAAAAAGGGCGGGGGGGCGGTTCTGCTTCCGGGTCAGCCCTTCTCTCTCCGGCTGCCGGCGGCGGCTCTCGGCCATGAGGAGCCGGAGCGGGAGGCGGCGGCCGCGTAAGGCCCTGCCTGGGCTGTGGCGGGGGCTCATGGGTTTGGGGTGTCCCTCGGACCGCCGGGGGTAGGGTAGGGTGTGTGTCCCGTCTTCCTCCCCCGCCGCCATGTACACCTTCGTGGTGCGGGACGAAGGTAGCAGCGTGTACGCTGAGGTGAGCCGGCTGCTGCTGGCCAGCGGGCAGTGGCGGCGGCTCCGGAGAGACAACCCTCGCTTCAACCTGATGCTGGGAGAGAGGAACCGGCTCCCCTTCGGCAGGCTGGGTAAGGGTAACCCCCCCCACACACACACGCTCCCCCCCCGGTAACCCACCCCCCCGCCGGCAGCAGGGCCCTCCCGGTCCCGGTCACCCCGCTGCCAGCGACAGCCGAGGGTTTGCTGGGCTCCTTGTCACAGGGACGCGGTGGCCGCTCTCGCCTGCGTCGCCGGGAACAAAAGGTGGGGACCGGGGGCGGGGAGGGGGGGTCTCCGTGCAACCGCTTTCCTCCCCCCGCCCCCCCGATTCTCTGCAGAAACCGGCCCCGGGGGCCAGCACCGCTGCCACCAGCTCAAAGGATTCCCCCTCCCGTAGTCCCCGGGGGGTGGTTTTACTGGTGCCCCCCCCCCCCCCCCCCACAAAAAAACCCAAAAACCACCCAGGCCAGCTTGGGAGCTGCGGTGTGGTGCAGCAGCAGGGTGGAGTGGAGGGCCCCCGAGGATCCCCCCCACTTCTCACATGTCGCAGACCCTCAGGGTCCCAGCCACCCCCAGGTGCAGCCCCCACCTCCTGGCCTTGTCCCGCAGTAACGCGCTTGGGGCCGTTGTCACCGTCGCAGGGGGCTTCAGTCACCCAGCGCGGTGGTGCCGGTGGCAGCCCCGGCCTGGCGCAGGGCAGGGACGTTGCAGTGCTGAGCTTAATATGTTTATGGGGGTGTTTGTACGGTTTGGGACAGGTGGGGGAACTGGTGTGAGCCAGGCACGCTCAAACCTTTGCCTTGGAGCTGAGGCTGGTGGGGATGTGCCTCTGCAGGTGCTTTGTGGGAATGATGGTGTTTCTAGTGCCAGCTTGGAGCAGGGGGGGTTATTTCAGAGGCTCTGTGTGTGTGTAGGGCCACACCCCCCCACACCTTTTCCCCTGCTGTCTCACCCTCTCTGTCACACTGCCGACACGCGGGATCCTGGGACCTTCCCTGTGCAGTCTTGTCCCCTCCCTGCCTGCCATGCACGCTGCCTCTCCCGTAGCAGGCAGGGCTGTCGGCACAGCCACCCCAGCCCTCCACCCTTCCAGATGGGGAAAAGCCCAAGAGCAGAGCGGGAGAGTGCCATGCACTGTCCACGAGCAGGGAGAGCCAAGCCAGGGGCTGGCAGCGTTGCAGGGCACAGCGGGGAGCAGAGATGCACTGTCATTGCCCACGGCTGGAGGCAAACCGGCAGGAGCTGCAAGGCTGGCAGGTCTCCGTGCATGGTGCTGGCTCCTGTCATCAGGCCTGTGAGAGCAGATTTGGGATGAGGACATGGCAAACCCCAGCAGAGCAGTGTGTTTCCCTCCTGCGGTCCCCTGTGTCTGCATCTGATGGCTGGCAGGACCCTCCTGGCCTCCCTCCCTGCCCTTGGCCCTGGTTTCTTTCTTCCTGGGGTGATTTTGCAGCACTGCTGCTGGCTGCAGAAACATCGAAACAGGAGCAGTCCCTTCACCCCAGCAGCTCTGGGGCAGGATGGCTTTTGCAGCCCCTTTCTTGCAGTTGAGACTCAGCACTGACTGCTCTTTCAGATTTGCAAGTCACCAGCTCCAGCACTTCTTCCCTTGTCTCCACATGTGTTTGTGAGTGGAAAGTCCCTGTCACACGGTGATGCCATCTGGTCACCTCCTGGCATCAGGGTGTCTGCAGCAGGCAGGGAAACACTGGGAGAGGCTTAAGCAGTGAGGATGCTCACGCACTCTGTAGCTGGGCACAGCAAGCAGACCTGTGCTTTAATGTGGCCAGCAGGCAAGGCCTGCGAGCATCGGGCTTCATTGCAGAACGAGTACAGTTCTTTGATGTGAGCAGTCTGCACAGCATGTCCAGCTATGGTGGGCTCATGGCCATCTCTTACTAACCCCTTCCATCCTCAAAAAGAGCCCTGGGTGATAGAAGGGCTTCAGCGAGCCCTTCAGCATGTGTTGCCATGGGATGCTCAAAAATTCAAACCATTTCTCACAGCCAAGACACATCTATAACCCGTGGAGAGGGACCATGCTTTGGCACTGGCTTCGTTAACCCATCCTCCTTACAGCAGGAGCTGGCTGCCTGAAATCAGTAGATTCAGACCAAAAATAACATGGTTATTTTGGTACATCTTCCAAAAAGCTGTATTTTCTCTGGTACATCTTCCTAAAGCTGTCCTCCTGAGCAACTGTTGCATCAAATCTGGCTTGGTTTGGTTTTCCTAAAGGCTCTACTCAGTGGAAACAGGCATTAATTCGGGGGACTGTGGGGATTTGCATTACTTGGAGGCTAAGCTAGATCATTTGATGTGGGAGATGGGTAGAAGTGGGGACTCTCAGCATGCACCGCTGCCTCTGTCCAGCTGCAGGGACTTCTGTTGCTCTCGCTGATACCCTAATTCTTGGGGCATCATGCCCTTAAGCTGTGAGTGTCTGCATCTAAGTCTGTATCTAATGCAAAAGCAGTTTGTGCTAAGGGGAGGGAAAGGAGGAGGAGGAGGAGGCTGCAGAGGCCTTGTGGTGCAGAGGATGCTGGACTACGCCCTGCCAGCCAGTTTGCTCAGTGCTATGGCAGCTTTTTAACCCTGCTAAATGCATGGTGCAGACCTCACAATGTGCCTGAGAACCAGTTCCCCTTCCTGCCTTGTGCTCCCTCCTTGCTGACCACCAGACTCCACATTGCAGCCCACTGCTCTGTGGAGATGCTCAGGGAACCAATGAGAATGTGCCTCCCAGCAGGTCGCTTACCCAACAGCAGTGACTTCAAAGCAGGTTTCGGCCATTTCCATCGTCCTCCTTTCACCAGCCCCATTTCTCCATCACTAGTGGGATCTCCTTCTGGACCTCGATTCCTCCAGGAACCAAGCAAAATCGATAAACTGGAAACAGAAGGAAATTTTTTAGTTTTTTACTAATTTCTTTCAGTAAATTAGTGCCTGACAGTGCTGGCTACATGTTGAAGTGTCTGGAGTTACAGATCTTTTCTGGAAGATGGTTTTCAGCTGTTTTGTATTTAAAGATTTGTGAATAAAATAGTGACCCAGGTCAGGGCCGTGACTTTGGGGTTGAAATAGATATTCATTCTCTGTTGAAATAGATATTCACTCTCTGTGATCTTGCAGCTGCTTGGTCTTTAAGGTAATGTTTGCTCCAGGCCTTTTTTCCCAGGCAAACACCAAGGAGGACAGCTAAAACTCTGAATCCTTTTTCAGTGTCCAAATCACTCCCATGAGCATTGTTTTGAAAAGAGAAGGTGAAGGTGGAAGTAACTGCCATGCTTGGGGGAATCCCCCTGTTCCTAGGTTATATCAAACCAGAGCAGTTTTTCATCATGGTTTCCCTGTTGATGCTCTTGTCAGCTGTTGTCACCAGTGACCCAGGTATTGCTTCAGGCATCACTCGCCTCTTGCACATCTGTGTTCGGCTGCATTGGTTGTGTGGGAGAGGCTGTGTGGCGTTGCCCAGATTTGCGTTACCCTTCAGACAACTGCTGCTATCCTGTCCACCCAGAGAGCTTCCAGCTGAGTGCAAGCGTTTGTGTCTTGTGAGAAGGTGAAGGAAGGCAGGCTGTGGTGCAAAGTCTGGTATTGGTAAGGAGGTACCCATCTATTTGGCGCTCTGGTACTTGTGAGGCCACAACTGGATACTGGGACCAGTTTGGGACTTTACAGTACAAGAAAGGCATAGACACCCTGGACCAACTCCAGCAGGGGATTGTCGGGGGAGGCAGGATGGCAGTCAAGCACTGGGACAAGGACCTGTAGAAGCAGTAGGATCTTCATCCTTAGAGCTCTACTCAGACTTTGACCAAACAAGAGATTGGAGCAGAGACCCCCAGAGGTCCCTTCCCAACCCAGCTATCCAAAGGGGCTTGCTGCAAACTGCCAGAGGGAAGCAAGGCTCCAAATCTTTTAACGTTTCCCAGTGTTTTGTGATTATCAGGTCCGACAGGGAATCCTGCTGTATGTGACAAAGAAACAAGGCCCTTGCCTAAACTGTGATCTTTGTATCATGATGTGCTTCCCTGCATCTTCCTACTGCATTTCAAAGTAGCTGAAATCTTGGCTTTTAAAAACTGCCGCCAGCAAATGGGAGAGTGTTTTTGGGTGGTGCTGCCAGCTCCCAGTGTGAATTAGGAAATGATATTTTTCCCTTGGAAAATGGAAGTGTCAGATTCAAACCAGACTTGGGTAAATGCATGGTTTTTCATAACTAAAAGATAGAAGCCACAGGAGCCAGTACCAGCTTAAAGCCTGTTTCTGTGATACAGGGCAAGGAAACAGCCTCCTTTTTCTTCCCTACTGCACAGGTCCTTTGCACCAAGCAGATGTTTTTCCTTCATTAATTGAGAAGTTTGTCTGACCTCTTTGTTTCCCCTTCTTAGGCCATGAACCCGGACTTGTGCAGCTGGTGAATTACTACAGGGGAGCAGACAAGCTGTGCCGCAAAGCATCTCTGGTGAAGTAAGAAATTCACTGAAATGTTACATGGGATTGACAGAAATTTTTCTTCTAACTGTTGTTGAGTGTTGAACCTGTTTGGAGGGTATTTCCCAGAACAGCTGTCCTGGGAGTGTCCTAGCATGTGCTGTCTTCAGACTCCCATGCTAGTCTCTAGACTATCTCTATCTGTGTGCACAAAGACCTCTTTGTAACTTGAGGGGAAACGCCGTTTCCACTGAATTACAGCTGCTTGAAACCATAGAGTGTATTGCATCAGATTAGAACCAAATAAAAAAAAAACCCCCACAAGCATATCTGTTCTTTTTCATTGTAGACATTTAATTAAAACCTACTCCTTTTATTCCCTGTTTCATACAGGATGAGACACTAACATGCCTTTAGCTAATCAGATTTGTTGGTCAAACAAATGCTTGGAGACATCTCCAGGAAGAGCTCTGGGAGTTATTTCTGCATGACTAGCCGTGCTGGGGTCTCCTGGGGAAATGTGGATGAGCTTTCATTGCAGATAACACTTGTCCCTGTGCAAACTCTGTGGCCATTAGGGCATCTTCATGTCAGGGCTCTTGGTCTCCTTCAAACATTTGATTCCACGTTAGTGTCTGTACTGCCTATTGCTGATGCAGTCCTGGAGACTGTGTGTGCTGATCCGAGGCCTCTCCTTCCCCTGCGAAGAACCTTGTCCCAATTGCTTTCTTTACAGTGGTGATGGTTTTTGTTAGGAGCTAGCAGACTTTTTTTAAACAAGCACTCACAGCACTCCCCAGCTGGCTTTCTCTGCGGCCCATGGTCTAGAGGCAATGCTGACAGTGCTTGCACACCTGTTTTTCTCTTCTGAAGCTTAGCTGACCTTTCTAACTGTGGGGTCACCCATGCATCAAGCTACTTATGAACGTGAGGGACCACAAATGACATTCCTCAGGGCTCCCAGGCTGTCACTGACTGACTGCCATTTCAACAGAGAGGCACAAATGCACAGAGAGAGTCAGCAAGTCATGAGCTCTGCTTTCGGCCTTAAGCAAAGCACAGAGTGAGCATTCAGAGAGGCAGACAGCTCCCTTGACTGAAAGAAAACAGGCCCGGGCTCTGCTAACAGGAGTTTGCAGGCATCTCTAGACAGGACTGGTAGGAGAGGTGTGCCAGAGTGATCAGAGACTGCATGATGCAAGGGGGATCCCAGACACCTTGGGACATGAAACATGTAGCTGTGTCCTTGCTTTCAGTGGGTTCCCAGTGGTCTTCATCCACAACTGGAACACCTGATCAGATCTCAGTGAGGATGGGATCAAGAGCTAAGCACCAGCACAGAAAACATTACTGCTTTGGCTTCCTTTTTGCCTGGTGTGATCACAGCATCCTTCCTGCCCCATTCCATGTTGGCAAACACACCTCCTCAGTTCCCTTGTGCAAAGATGATGCAGGGAATGTACCACAAGCTCTAGTTACATGGAAACTTTTCTACTGATTGTTTCACAATTTCCATAGTATCTACAAAACGTTTAGTGAAAGCGTGCAGGTCTGGTTCAAAGAGCAGTGCTTGTCTGCAGGTTAGGGTTGCCATGATAACTTTAGGAAAACCCTAATTTCAAGGGTCTAAGGAAGATACAATAATTTGGTGCAGACTTATCTGTAAGCTATTCATCACCAAGCAAAAGAGCCCAGTTAATGATGATTTTTATTTATTAAATGATGTCCATGCAGGTGGGGACACTCTGGAGATTAACAGCCTGTCTCTCTTCACCCAGGCTAATCAAGACAAGCCCTGAACTATCGGAGTCCTGCACGTGGTTCCCCGAGTCATATGTGATTTACCCAACAAACTTGAAGACCCCCGTGGCTCCAGCACAGAATGGAATTCGCCATCTCATAAACAACACAAGGACAGATGAGCGGGAAGTCTTCTTGGCAGCTTACAACAGGCGGCGGGAAGGCAAAGAAGGCAATGTGTGGATCGCCAAGTCCTCAGCTGGTGCCAAAGGTTCATTCTCCAGCAAAACAGGCCACCTTCTCGTTATTCCTTACTCTTAACTTGATCGGTAGAGTCCTGGGGTTTGGCTGAGCCCAGCTGATATCTAGCCTGTCTATGAAGGGTTTCACCTACCAACTTCATGCTGGTTAAGCCAGCATAGGGCTGTCCTTTGCTTGGTAGCATGGGGCATTGTAACATGCACATGCTACCTAGGACATGGATGGCCGTGAAATGACCTTGACTTTTCTACATGTGCGCCTCAAAATACGGGAAAGTTTGCTGCAGGGAGACAGCAGCAGGGACCAGCAGGCAAGGGGAGTGTGGAGAGCAGGAGATAACAGGGAGCAGAACAGGGTATGGGAAGGAGGGCAGCAGGCAGGACAGCAGCCTTCAAGGGCAAGGAGCCCAGCTCTCCATGCTGCAGCTAAGCCTGGTTTCACCTGGGCAGAAATACCGCTGCTTGTCTTTGAACCAAACCCAAATGCCTGGGCCTACCCATGGTCACACTGAGAGACTGGCTGAGTATGCACAAGCTCAGTGCATCGAAATTACACCCAAGCCTCAGCGGAAGGCACCAGAGCAAAGACAAACAATGCAGTGTCTGTATGACCCTTTAATTTGAATAAGGCGATAGATACCTAAGTGATAATGTGTCCTTTCTTGTTCCAGGGTCATTGCATCATTTGCTCTACAGAAATAATGAGCTATTAGATGAGATAGCTGGACATATCTATAGATGTAATGCTTTGGTAACTATGTGCTGTTTGCCAGTTTTGGCAGTATCACAGGCACATTATCAGAATGGCTTTATGAAAACTTGCCTTGCCATGTGTGCAGAGCCCAGCTCGAGGCAGGAGCTGGTCTTTTCAAAAGGAACAAGCTCACATGTATTACTCGTATTTACAGAGTCACTTTTGATGCAATCTTTCAAAAATCACCAGAGAATGTGAAAGCCAGAAGTGGCTGCATGCTAAAACTGTCCTTCATGCTGGCTTCCTTCACTGCTCTGCTCTCTTGGCTGCGTTACCAAGAAGCATCAGAAGAGTATACTTATTTTCATCGGGGATGAAGGGGAGATGAGTCCTTTCATTACAGCAGTGAGGGAATGTGTTTCAGTGTGGTATAACTGTCTGGCAAAGAATTAATCTGGGCAGTTGAAAAGGCCATTGCTGTGGTTCACTGCAGGGTGGGGAGGTTTAAACTCTCCACATACTTTATTCAAGTGTGATCCCATCTTTTCTGCATTAAAGCAGAGTAACCTTTCATATTCATCAGTGTGCTGTAGAACTCAAGCTGGGAATTAAAGTGGAAAGCAGAGCCTCATTTAATCTTCTAGAGGGAAGTTTTAAATGTCTGGGGATTACTTCTGATGAAGAAGAAAGCTTCAGTCGATGTTAACTGCCAAGGCAGATCCAGCTCAGGCACAGCCCCTGACTCGGGACAGGTCTAGTGGAAGCTTGGTTGTCCATCAGTAAAAGGAAAATTAAAGGTTTAGGATGTCCTGACTTAAAAGTTGAGAGATTTTTCAACTGTGGCTAGCAGTTTTGATGTTTTCTTTGAGAGAAGGGACAGCTGCCCCACATAAGCTGCTTTTCCTGCCTCACTGGGTTGCTGACTAGGTGCAGTTAAGCTAACCTCCCCCTTGATTCACCGTCTGTCCAGTGCAGAACAGGTGCCTGCTGATTTTCCCACTGTGGGGGCTTTTGTGGCTTACAGAGATGTTGTTTCCCTCCTTCCCCCAGTGCACAGCCTGTGGTTGTACCAATGCAAGCTTCTGCCTGGCTCTGCTGTGATCAGGGGACTAAAAATCTTGCCCCCTGCATAAAACATGGGTGAGAAAGACACTTTGATGAAAGGACTTCCTTTCTGTGGAGGATGCTAAGATGGGTAGGGGGTCAGCAGGGCTGGGAAGCTGTGACTCACAGGTATACAAAGCATGGAGCAGTGAAAGTACCTGCAGGGCTGTGTCAACAGTGACCTTCAGAAGTCACAGCTAGGAGCGTTTTCCATGGGATGATCCTGTCAAACCCTGCCTGTGCTCCAAACCTGTGTTCTCCCTCCAATGCCCCCCTTGAAGAGTTGTTTGTTTCTTTTCACTCAGTATTTCCTCCAAAACACCCAGCACAAAATTAAGACTGAAGTCATCAGCTTTAGTCCAAAAAGTTAACTAAATGCCTGAAGTCTGGACATAGTGCCAGAGAAGTGTTAGATAATTCTAGCTGAGCTGGTTTATCCCTCATGTGGCACCGTGCCATCGCTTTATCAAATCCCAGAAGGGATATATTCTCTCTTCATTGCTCTGCAACAGTGGTTTCGTATCTGGACTCTTGCAAGAAATTAACAGTGACAGCTTCAGCCAAAATGTGGCAGTATTTAAACGGCACATCTAACTTCTTTAATGAAGAGCTTCCACAGCAGGGGAAAGCACTGACTACAGGGGTGAACGTTTTGAAATAGTTCTTTTCCTAATTCAGCAATGATTTTAATAGTAACTTAAATGAACTTGGTGAGCAAGGCAACACAGAGCAAGTGTGCATGTGTGACTGCCTCTGGCAGCCAGAGAAGCCAGGCAGGGGGAGAAAGTCTGAGTCTGGGATAATAAACCACAAACCTCCCTCTCCAAATAAAAAAAAAAATTAAGAAAAATCTCACAAACAAACTGCCAAAACCCCGGTTCTCCAAGCTGCTGAAAAACAGGGGAAAACGAAACAAAATTTGACAAGTGCTGAACACGTGCCCCACCTCCCCGTCAAGCCCAGCTGGAAAAAAATGCTGGAAAATGAAACAATATCCCCCAATCCAAGCAGCTGCCTCACTGCTTGACAAGGTCCCTGTCTGTTGTGCATGCCCTTGCACCTAAATAGCCACCCCACTGCAGACAAGCCCCAGGCAGGCCATGCCATCTTGGGTACCCTTGGTTTCCATTTGCATTAGCTCCGATTACTGGGGAGCTAGATGCCCCATGGTGTGGTAACAGGGAGATCCCTCTGCAGGTCCACTGCCTGACACTGAGCAAACATGACATCGCTTGGGCACCGACCAGCCATGGGTTCTTGCATGTTGCATGGCTTTTTGGGCAAATGAGCCATGGTCCACTTGGGCCCTGAAAGAGCTCCAGCAAAGGTAGGAGGATCCTCTACCTAATTTTGTCTTTGTCTTTCTGTGCCAGGGGAAGGCATCCTGATTTCTTCAGAGGCTGCAGAGCTCCTGGACTTCATCGATGAGCAGGGACAAGTGCATGTGATTCAGAAATACCTGGAGAAACCTTTGCTTTTAGAGCCAGGGCATCGCAAGTTTGACATCAGGTAACTTTTCTGCTTTTTTAATAATACTGGGTTTCATTTTCATGCTGTTTCTTTTTAAGTCACTGAGACTAGAGTTTGTTCTCTCACCCCCCAGGAGCTGGGTTCTCGTGGATCATCAATATAATATCTACCTCTACAGAGAGGGTGTCCTGCGGACCTCTTCCGAACCATATAACAGTGCTAATTTCCAGGACAAAACCTGCCACTTGACCAATCACTGCATTCAGAAGGAATATTCCAAAAACTATGGGCGGTATGAGGAAGGGAATGAAATGTTCTTCGAGGAGTTCAACCAGTATCTGATGGATGCCCTGAACACGACGCTCGAGAATAGCATTTTACTGCAAATCAAACACATAATAAGGTAGCCAGCTGCCTGTTGCATAGGGGAACCTAACGCTTCAGTGACAGGGAATGCATATGGACACAGCTGGGAAGCAGACAGACTGACAAGGGAAGGGTTTCAATTGCATAAATTTAAGATAAAGCTATAAACACCCCAATGTCATTTCTCAATGAAAGGGGACCTTCGTAGGTGCTGTTCTCTTAAGGGTATGTGTCAATGTGTTTGTGTTTTGCCAGCTGTGGCTGGAGATGGATAGAGTGAGATCACTTGGTAAGGGAAGACCTTGGTAGGCCAAAAGACAGGGCTGGGAAAGGTTGCAGTTATAAAAGGTATATGGTGTAAGAGGGGAAATGAAGGTGGACTCAAGTCTGCAGGATCTCGCTGCTTCCCCCACCATCAGCAGGCAGCAGCACATCTTGTTGGCATATGTTGTCTTACTCAGGCCACACAGAGCCAGCTACCTCCTGGGCACAGGCAGTGCCTGGAGAGAGATCTCGGAGATCAGGGCGCCACAGAGAATCCAGGTCCTGACAAAGTGACCCTACATGGTGGAATTTACTTTGCAAGTACCCTATTGCTGTTAGTTACACCAAAGGGACGTGACACGATCTTTAAGGGACTCCGAGGCAAATGAGAGCTCTCAATGGCTGTTCTTTGGGGACCTGGTGCACCCCTTTGTGGCTCTGCCTTCTGCTCCAGGCTCTTAATTGCACATCATGTTTTTTAACTTGCCTAATCCAGTAGTGGGAGTGGATGCTGCTCTCCAGCTCTTTGGGAGTTAATTCAGGGGCGTCCCCATGTGTGTTTTGATGGTTGCAGGATCTCACTTGCAGAGACCTTGTTACCGTGACTTGTGTTGGATATAGCATGTAATTTTGGGCAGTCCTCTTAACTGTGCTATTCATGTGCCCTCAGAAGCTGCAGTGCAACAGGTGTGTCCACAGGGCTTTTAACCTTGTGTTTCTGTTTTTCCCTTCACAGAAGCTGCCTTATGTGTATAGAGCCTGTAATCAGCACAAAGCATCTTCACTACCAGAGCTTCCAGCTCTTTGGCTTTGACTTCATGGTGGATGAGGAGCTGAAGGTCTGGCTGATAGAAGTCAATGGGGCCCCAGCATGTGCCCAGTGAGTAATCAAGTTTCTGTAATACCCTTGCAATGCCACCATTCACACGCCTCACCCAAAACAAGGCTGTGTCCCAGCTCCAAGTGAAAAAGGTGGAAGAAAGTGAATGGCAGGGGAGTTTTCCAAGCTAACACATACCAGACACTGCTCTAAGTGCCAGTTGATTTAAGTTTGTTGCTCCTGTCTCCGTGGTTGGTATTCCTCAGCTTCTTTCCCACGTGAGATGGGGCACTACCCTCAGTTTTTGGACAGATGGGTTTGAATATAACTTGGGTCATTTTTATTGACACTATTGGGTTGAAGTTGTGTTTCAGAATTAACACTTTGGGGGTCAGGTGGTTTCTCGGTCCCTCTTGTGGAGCCACTGATGACTGGTCTTTACCTGAACACATGATAAATGAGTAGCATTAAGGGCAGCAGCTGGGAGTGACTGAATTTGCAGGTAAAGTACCCAGAGTACACTGTGGGTGCTGCAGACATTAGATCAAAGCCTCCACCAGCCACAGGGAGGCTGGGACAGCCAAACAGCTGTGGCCATGAACATCTCTGCATAGGCACAGCGGGAGGTGTTGTTATTACGTGATTGAGACAACTGTGAGAGACTAGAAGTCTTTGCTAAATGGGCATCTGTATCATATAGAAGCCCAGCAAAACAGAACAGGCTGTACATCACTACATTAGAATTTGATTAGATTAGATGTAGATTAAATTAGATTAGATCATCACTAACAGTAGACAAAAAATACAGGTCAAACCTACCAGACAGCCTGTTCAGCAGCCTTTTCAGGGCTAGGGCTTGGGAGCCTTCTGTGTCCAGGATACCCTGTTCAACATGTGCACCGTGGTGCAATACTGCCTTGCACCTCCTTGTGTTGCTGTACAGGTAGAATTTGACTGTTGCTGGGTGGATGTGGGTTGCAGCAATGCCCTGTTTGCTTTGTGCCTCTATGGGTGCTTGGAAACCATTGAAAGCAGCTGAGGTACGTTTTGGCTATTTGTGGCTTCTCCTTTTAAGGGTTATTCTAATTTATAGCACCCATATCGGTGCCCATTTAAGAGACAAAAATTGGCTGCTGAAAGCAGTAACATTCCCAGGCGCTGAAAAAGCGTCTTACTGTCATGTAGCCCCAAAGGCAGAGGGTGAAAGACATTGTTAATCCTAGTAAAGACAGCTTTGGTACTAAAAATGTCCCAGATGACAGCATGTTCAGGGAGGTTACACGTGTATTTCCTTCAGCAGAAAGTGAAGCTTTTGTTAACTCATTTCTCAGACACCTTGTCTCTCTTCGACCTAATCCTGCTCTGCATGAGCTGTGCCATGGTGGAACATATTCCACATGGTCTTGTGAAGTCTCTGTGCCTGGTCACAAGCTGATGTGCACAGCTGCACCCCAGTGCAGCGTTTCATCGAACATGAATGCATCTGAGCAGTCCCTCTGGGGCACATCCCCACATGAACGGGTCTGGTGTGATAATCACAACTCCCTGAGTTGGAAGGCCTGTACAGGGGGTGCTCAGCTGTTGTCTGCCCCTGTGCATCTTGCGGTGACTCAAGTCTGGAGCCTGAGGGTGTGGAGACTCTGCTCAGGAGCCTGTTCTGATAGTAAACTTAGATAATGTGTTTTGTGGTCCCGTCTGGCAGAGATCAATATTGGGAAATTCAATGGAAAAGACAGTTGCTGGGGTAGGTGGGGAGGAGATAGAAGAGATGCCACCCTCCTCCCGTTTGCCACACCAGAGCTACCTGTAATGGGAACAGGATCTTGTAGAACCTGCTGGGAAAATACATGTCTATGTAAAAATTGGTCGGGGGCCTGCTGGTTTGTCCTGCCTGGGCATCTGATTCTCTCCCTCTCTTCATCTCTCAGGAAGCTGTATGCAGAGCTCTGCCAAGGAATTGTGGATGTAGCCATCTCTAGCGTTTTCCCCCTCAATGACACAGGGCAGAAGACGAGCCAGCCATCATCGATCTTTATCAAGCTGTGATCATGACAGGAATGCCTCTGCTGTGCACAAGGAGAGACTGCACCCATCGGGTCAGCACAGTTCGGTGGCTTATCTCAGTATCATGCCAAAAAGTGATAGAGACAGGCTTCTTTTCTGGGAAATCATGGGGAAAAACAACAAAACAGACATCCACACAGAGCTGCGATGAGCCAGGGCTGCTCAGATAACTGCCTGCATTCACCAAAATCCACTTTAGAAACAGCTCGTGTGACTTTGATATCTGAAACAAATCTCTCTGGGAGAACAACAACATAACCTTAAAATGAAACCCCAACAGGGATACTATAATACTGTATTGGCTTCTCCTTTTCTATAGAGATAACATTGGGTTTTTTAAGAGAACTGAGCGAAGAGAACGATGATCTTCCGGGACATCGTGGCTGGGAAGTTGTCCTCCTCCCGCTGTGTTTCTTCTTTCCTCACCTACTGCATCATTAGTGCCTTAGCTCAGCTCCAAATAGGTGACTCCTTTCCTTTGTTCCTGCTCTATTACGTAGAAAGGAGCAAGCTCTCTTGCATCGCAGGATGCCTAAAACCAGGAACACCAAGAATTCAGTTTCCTTAGGTCATTTTCCAAGCTGGTTGCCTGAACACCCAGGCAGCAGCTGGCAAGGGGGTGCTGAACTGCAGGCGGTGAATTAACCCAAGCAAGGAAGGCAATTTTGTTTATTTATAGCTATCCCTTTTCCTAATGAGATTTGAATCAGTGTCCATCCCAGTCTGATGCAGTTGGATTCTGTTTAAAAGAAACTCACCGGCAGGCTGTAGGATTCCTAGCATCACTTTTGTGCTGAGAGTGTTTCAAATAGCAGAAACCCGATCTCCTCAGTTTCTTCTGAGACACTGCAGTGAATTTAGGCTCTTCTCTCAGCTTTTACCTTCATGCATTTGAGGCTTGAATCTGAAACCTTTCAACCCAAATTATTTTTATCCTATTTGATCCAGCCAATTTTATTCTCCTCCATTTGACAAATAGTGTGGTTTTCTGCCCTGAACACAGTCCACAGCTCAGTCCCAGCTAGGGGGAAGGTGGGTGAGGTTTTGTAGACCAGGAGAGAGATTCCTTGCATATAGGCTTGCCACACAGCTGGGAAGGCAGGTGTTTTGGGGGGCAGGCAGGGGAGGTTAAATTTCTTGAGGTCCCTGAATTTCAGAGCTAACATCTACTCTGAGTATAACCTAAATCCCTGGCATATTGCCCACCCTGTGAAGTGTATTTGAATTTTCAGTGTGAGCCCAGCACATCCCTCCTAAGCCAGAGCTCTTTGCAGAGCACAGTGGCACTTGTAGCAGCAGCGGGCTTTGTGGGGGATGTTCAGGGCTGTGTTCTGCTGCCTCTGGCAGGGAGAGATGGTTGGCACCAAAGTAAACTGGTTCCTGCTACCCAAAACAAACAAACAAGAAGAGATTGTGGAGGTTACAAGCTTCTGGCTGCCTGTGTGTAACGGGAAGTGAATCAAGCAGTGGGATTTATGCCTCCCTCAGAAGGTCCTAGTGCTTTGGCATACTCATCTCTGCTTGTGACGGAGATTTCAGAGGTCTTTGTGCCAGCAGACCATCCTGGCACCTTTCTGTAGGCAGGACTGAAGTGCCCAGGCCTCCTTGGAGTGATGCATTTTGATCATGCTGTCATGGGATGGACGTTCATTGCAACATGCTGTGAATCCACAAGTGGCACCATTTCACCCAGGGCCAGGAGAGAACAGAGTGCTTATCAAAACCCCACAGAAGCATCACAGAGAGAGGAGAGCACATCCCAAAGTTGTCAACACCTGAAGCACGATGTAGATCCTCATCTGCAGGTGTGTGGCGGATGCAGGGTGCACTGGTGCACGCGGAGAAGTGACAGGAGGCAGGAGCTGTGTGAAAATGGGGCTGCAGCTTTGTTCTCCTGCACTGCAAATGCTGGCGGATGGCTTCACTTCCAGCGAGATCCCGAGTGCCAGGTCTGGTGTCTGGATTTGGGCCTCATGGGTGTTCGGAAGAGGGACCGTGAACGCGTCAGTTCGTGAGACAGGGAGTGGTGGGTGATAAGCTGGGAGAGGGGTGTGGGGGAAGGACTTGTTGGGGTTTTTTAACCTTACAATAGCACATAGGTGTCAAAATTTCACTGCAGGCCAGGTAAAGCGTAGTGGTAACGCTCCAAGGTAAAACAAAGGCTGTAACGGTTATTACTCAACTTGCAAAGTTCACCATGTCTCCATTGGCACTTTCATATTAGCTCATGTGAGCTCTAGGGCAGACAAGAGCAGAGTGTGAAGCGAGAAGAGAAAATTTTCGCCATCATAATGAAATGAGAAATGCTCATTTTCTGGGGTGCTAGACTCATCCTTGTTTTCCCCTCAAAAGTGAAGTTAAAAAAACAAATCACTCCCTTACTGCACAGTAACGTGAGATTCCTGCCGACGCAGTGGGATAAGGGCAAGAAAGCTGCCTGGATGCAGGCAAAACAGGGGTCCCCACTGGAGCAGCTGGTACCACCGGGAGGAGCAGTGACTCAGGAGTCTCTGCCTAACTCAAAGGCCTTTTCTTCCCCCTTTTTCAGCCTGGATTGTGTTGTGGCACGTCAGCAGCTGGTTTTGGTGCTCAGCTGAAAGTGGGACTTCAGCTTGATGGTAGAGCCATGACCACAGGTGATGCAGCTATTCATACCCTGCCTTTTCAGCTGGGCTTGGGGCAGATAGTGATTCAGGGATGCTTTAATCATTGGCTTCTTTGCTGAATTTTTCAGAAATAAGCAACAGCCTCTGGAGGAAAACAGCAAGTATCAGATGTATTTATCACCTGCTCTCAAAATGCTTCCCAGGGTGAAGCACAGGAGGTAAATGATAAAGGATGGAGAGCACAGTGCCTAAGGTCTTGCCCAAAATATTAGCTGTGAGGTGGAGGAGAGGATGCATGCATGGCTGAGGCCTGAGCATTGCAGCCATGGGTGCACCTTGCAAGTGATGCTCACAAGCCCTTGTGAGACTTCTGTTTGTTTCTTTTTTTAGGAATACACAACAATAAATGTTTTCTAGCTTATTTCAGCTAAAAGGTCAATAGAAAAGGTCTTAGTCTCTTTCCTGAGCTTTCACAAAGGATGGTGCTGGCTTTCCAGAGGACACCTACCATATTGCAGAACGTCTCTAGTCTCAGTTGTATCCCTTCATGTCAGCCATGAAGGGTTTCAGGCCCAGGTGCTCTGGCTGTGTTTTCCAGCAGGGTCTGGTCTCACTGGACTCTGTGTTTCAGGTAACTTCCACGTGGCTTGTCTCATACCAGGTTAGTCGTGATTACCATGCAACAGCTACTGTGCTCCTGCCGAAATCTGGTGGCCAGCCACAGCCCATGGAAAACGCTGGAGAAGTCTAAGAAAGGCTCAAAAGCCACTTCATCCAGGTGGCCCGGCTTCCCAGCCTTGCTGTGACCAGCACCCTTGAGGACTGCTTGCATGTCCCTGCTCCCAGCATTTCTTGTTCTCCACGTCCAGCTCTCCGCCAGGAGAGCAATGCTGTGCCGTACGTAGGTTCATAATCATGTCTCGTTGCCAGCGTCCGCTATGGCAACCCTCAGAAAAACCTGTTTTTGAGAGGATGGTGGGGTACATATGGCACTGCCAAGCTGGCAGCGTGCCGGGCTCCAGTTCGTGTCCCCCGCCGCTCTCACGTCAGCATGCGCGTGTGGGGCCGGTGGGCGCCTGAACCCCTGGATCTCCGGTGACTCGATCCACATCTCTCCTAAACCATCATTAAAACATGCAAACCCCACAGCCTGTGTGGTGTTTCCTTGGGGCAGCGGGGTGTCAGGTCCCCTCGGAAACCTGCCTGGGGGGTGCCTGTGGTGAGCTTTGCCCCCCTCCTCCCCTTGCCATGTGGGACCCCAGGAGCCAGCCCCACGGTGGAGGTTTCCTCACCTCAGGGTGACAAATGCGAGACGGCAGCGTGGCATGAGGGGGGTGCACGACGGGACACGGGTGGGGGTGGCTGTGGGGCACTGGGTGAGGGGTGGGACGCGGCTGTGAGGAGGCAGAGATGGG